GTTATATTATTGTTTATAATATGTTAATAAAGCTTAATTAACTATAATTTGTATTACTAGGCCTTTAGAAGTCGTAATATAAAATTCTGCATAAAAACAATAAATTAGCTGTATTTTATTGTATACGGGTACTGATATTAGTTTACTGTTTTATTTATTATTTTTTCTACAGAGATTATAAAATCATGATTCTTGAAGCATTGAAAGCTAGATATATTCATCTTTCCAGCGGATCAAGAAACACTCAATTCGGAGCTAAATTGAATTTTATATAAATTATTTAAGGGAGGTTATGCGCACAGAGTCGGTCCACCGGGCATGCCTCAGTAAAATAATTATCATAAATTCGATAGACCGCCAAAATTAGTCAAAACGGTGGCGTTTGAAAGATAACTTAACAATCTTTCTAATGAGGCTAGAATCGTTTCATTTGAAGAATAATTGAGAAAACTGCAAGCTTCGAATCGCGCGGTACTGCACTGAAACGAAGGCAGTGCGACTCTTCAACATCTTATTGGATTAGGTCCGGTTATGGGCCTTGTAAGTTGTAATTGTACATTAGTTGAAGTATATAGTAAATTAACTTAATGTAATAACAGATAGTCGAAGTTTTCAAGTTCAGATTCAATCAAATCGATCAGAATTCTCTCAGTTGTTCTCTCCACTGCACCATGGCTCTTTCTCCTTGCTTGCATCTCAATCTTCCATGTATGTGTTCATTCTTCTTCATTGTTTTTCACGAATTGGATCTGGATTTCCTTCTTCTATCATCTTTAATTGTTTTTCTTTACTAAATTCATGAATTAGATTAGGTTTTTACCGAACAAAATCTGCTGGAACTGAATTGCATGTGACAACTTGTTTAAGACTTGTGTTCTTGACTTGCTTTAGCTTGTGGATGTCTCTCGGTTGAGGATTGAAGCTTGAAATCACTTTGTTGAACTGTATGGTGAATGCTTGATTGATTAATTAGGTTTTCACAATGTCAAAAATGCAGTAGTTTTGCAATTTTGCTTACACCGAATCTGCTCCACAGTTCTTGTTCTTGCTTTCTTTAATTTTCTGCATTTTACTGCTTTTACTTTACTATTTTGATGTTTTAATTGCTTTACAGTCACGGTAGCTAGGTTTTATTGCTTTGTTTACTTGCTTTAATCTCTGTAGAAGCTTAGTTTTAGGTTTAGATAGATTTTACTGCATTGTTTTAGGTTCTGTCATAGATTAGCATAAGATTAGAATAGTTTAAGTGTAGCTAGGTTCTCATTTTAATTTTCTGCACTACAAATTCCCCTTGAATACTGAAAAACTCATAAATATACATTACTTCACTCATTCCATCATTCACATCACACATTTACCACTGTTTTGAACATTTTGACCGAAGTGACCACTGTCACTCGGTCAGGTTTTCAGCCACACGCACCAAAACACTCTCACACGGTCATCTCACACTTTTAAAACTCAAAATACAAAACTATTTGCCTTTACATCGGTCAACCATACATTTTATACACTTCATTTGATTCTTGACCGAGGCATTTCTTCATATATTCATTTTGACCGAGACCTTTTATTTTGTTGATTTTCTAACCACTTTTCCGACCACCAAGTCATCGTTCACTACGGTCATTTTCCATTTTAAAAACTCAAAACTCAAAAATAATTACATTTAACTCGGTCATTCATATATTTTACACCTTTCATTTGATTCTTGACTGAAAAATTGGTTTTACATTTCATTCTGACCGAGAGTTCACATTTCTGACTGTGGTTTCTGACCGTGGTTACTATTCATTGTGGTCAGATTTATGAATTTCGTTTAACTTCATTCATCTGCATTTTGTTTTCATTTCTGTCTACATTCTTATAGGTCAATCATATATTTTGTTCACTAATTTCCATTTTTGACCGATACAACTCATTAGTTTTTGTATGTTGACCGAGAGCACAAAATTCGACTAGTGATTCCTGACTGTTATTACTCGTTCACGTCGGTCGATTTACGATCTTGACAGTGGTTACTTGTTCATCACGGTCGATTTGTGATTTTGGGTCGATTTATGATTTTCCATATTTTTAGCCATTTTTTCATTCTGCAGTATTTTCATTCACTGCATATTAGGATTTTACCTCATTTTAATTTAGTCTAAGATTGTAAATTTCATTTTTAGTTTAGTTCCCCATTGAATCATTCATAACTCAATCATATACTCTTATTACTTCCACGGATTGATATTCTGGTTCCCATTGTACTGCATTATTATTGTTTTAGGGGAACTCATTTGAAAGTGTTGAAACTGCGACATATCAATTTAACATCTTTCACGCCGTCAAAACGAGGGCGGTCGGACCGACGCGATGGTTTCCGACTTTCCAATTTTCGCGTTTTTATTGGTGGTTACAACTCCTTTAGGTTGTCCGATAACTGGTTGAACCTAGGGGCGAGGTGTTCAAAAGGGCGCCCTTGGATTGTCCGATAACCGGGCTAATCCAAGAGCTAGTTTTGAAGGGTTCTTTGGAGTCGGCACCGATGTTTTTACCGGAAACATCAGAAAAGGAGTTAAAAGGCGTTGGTTTTCGAAAAACCAACTTTGGTCATTAGAACCAGAGTTGGGTAAGGGAGTTAGTTACGCGTAAAGGAAGTGTTAGTTCCTTTACGACGCCCCTTTCGGGTTCCCTATGATAGGCTAGCTACTTTGGATAAATAAATAAACCTGAAAAATACGCTTTTACCCTTTATTTTGCGGAATTTAAAGTTATGACTACATGGCCCTAATCTCTATTGCACAATTTTAAATTAAAGCGGTAAAAGTAGAGAGAGAGAATATAAACCTCCGAAGCAAGCTTTTCTATTAATTCTTCCTAAAAATAGGGTGCTTTGCAGCAGCCCTTCACTCTATACAGCATCAGAAACCTCTTGAAACGCCCAGAAACACTCTTAGAAATGATCAGAAACTCCGGAAATGCTTCGAAGGGGTTCTAGAGAGAGAATTTTAAGAGATTTCTAGAGAGAAGGAGGAAGAACTATTCAAAATGAAGGGAATGGAGGCCCTATTTATAGGGATTCGCGCCTGCAGGTCGAGACGGGCCATCTCATCTGACAAGGTCGAGATGACGGTCTCGCCATTCGCGCAAGGCGAGACGGCGGTCTCGAATCCTAGACGGCGGTCTCGACCTTCAAAGGCAAAAATCCTTATTTTTGGACCAAAAATCCCTCCTATCCTAGTATGGGGCCTAATAGTCTCTCCTAGTGGCTTCTTAGGCTTCATCCATCTTTGAATAGAAGGTCTTCTGATCTTTATTATGAGGTCGGGCAAGATTAGGGGTCTACAACTATCTTTCAAATTCAGTTTACAAATTACAATCAACTCAGCAGAGGAACTAGTGAAAAATAAACTAATTCAAAAGACAAACACCTCCTTAGAATCCCACTAAGGATGAACACCTCCCTAGAATCCCACTAGGGATGAACGCCTCCTTTGAACAAATCAAAGGATGAAAAGCACCTCCTTTGCAACCAACACACAAAGCATGAACACCTCTTTAGAATCACACTAGGGATGAACACCTCCCTGAACAAATCAAAGGGATGAAAACACCTCCTTAGAATCCCACTAAGGATGAACCCCTCCCCGAACAAATCAAAGGGATGAAAACACCTCCTTAGAATCCCACTAAGGATGAACACCTCCTTTGAACAAATCAAAGGATGAAAACACAAACACAAAGATAAACACATTAATCAATAGCCAATATGCACACCTAAACCCACAAAGGATGGAGGCAATAAAATAAGAACAATCACACCTGGGTAATGGAGACAACAAATTGTAGAAGCTTGTAGAATGTCAACCTCTAAGAACAAGTGTGATAAACAATGAAAGTGCAGAAGGCAATATGAAAAAGTTTTCTCAGAAAACCTAAAAGTCCTTTGTTGCCTTGCTCAAAATTCTTTTCTCAAAACTAATTGAATGTAAATTGTGTTTTCGAATTTTGTAATTGTGTATATTTTATTTTTCATCAAAACTTATTTAAAAAGGAAAATAACATTAGAAAATAGTCGTTGGTCATTAATAATTTTGTAGAGAAAAATCAGGATGTATTCAAAAATATTTATTCTTCAAAATGGATATATTTTTCAAATTTGAACTACCATAATCGATTATGTTACTAATATAATCAATTATGACAAAGAGAAAATTATTTTTCCATTTTCGATGCATCATAATCAATTATGATAGTGCAAAATGTCATGTTATGAAATTTTATCACACTTGTGCTTTGGAGGCTTATGCATAATACCACTTCATCAACTTGTACCTCCATATCCAGTATTCTAAGACTCTATCTAGTCTTCAGGAATCATCTTGGGCTTGCTTGAATCATCATCTTTTTCATAATGTATATCTAGTCTTCAGGCTTCATCTTGGGCTTGCTAGAGTCTTGAATGTTATTGACTTGAATCATTATCAAAATCATCTCTTGGGAATGTAGGGACATGTTTCACATTGCCATCAATCTCCCCCTCATTGCTTTCAATGTCAAAATCCATCAAGTTGTTAAATAAGGGTTACAGGTGCCTTAAACCTACTACACATAGTGAGTAGCATACCATTTACATGTTTTATATATGATAAACATACATATTCTTTAATGTTATATATGTGCTTATGATTCTTCTATTTTCCAACTTTAGCATATACTTTCTCTCTTCTTATTAATATAACTCGTAGATGTTCTTGTTTGAGTTGTAATATCACTAATAAAATCATGTTCCACATAGAGTTTCATGCATGTGTGTTACAAAAAGTACCTAAAATTCAAGCATACACTTAAGAAGACAAAATTCTTGGAATGGCAGAAAAGAGATCTTCTTATAGCCTATGATGGTACTCAAACGTATGCTAATAATTATATGATTTAGGTTACAACGTAAATTCAACACTTTTTGGGACGCTTGGATCATTGAAACTTGAATGTCCTTTGCCTTCACTTGGTAGGCTTGGAGGAGGATCACAGACATCAGAAACATCAATTCTTCTTCTACCATTGAAGCTCCCCCACATCCTGCATTACTGAAAAATGAGGATATTGTGTGTCATCGCAAGGATCGCCACCATCTTATGAAGGACACAACCTACGCATGCCACCAAATTGTTGCCACCCACTCCAATTACTATCGCTCTTTGTCTTCAACCACACCCCACTGTCTTCTTTAGCAACACATTTATAGTTTTATTTTATAGTAAATGCATTTTCAATATGTCACTTTCAAACACATTTCTACTTAGTAGTAATAAATTAAGTACAATGTACATATTTTCTTTAACTTAACATTTTTAGCTAATTTGATCTTGCTCATTGTTTTGGCCATAAATTTTTCTACAAATATTATTTTTGTCTCATTCTAGTTGCATTGGATTCTAAATTTTAGAGATATCAAATTTGTATACGGTTGGTTCAATTTGGAGTTTTGAGTAGTTTTCTACCAATTTTATAAGTTGAGACAGCTTTGTTAAAACTTTGTAAAGAAGGCATACATATTTGATTTTTATTTGTATTTGTTTATCTTTTGTAATTAGACTTATGACCTAATTATATCTCACATTTAGGTCCATATTTACTTTAGGTTTGAGAGCTTTTAAATAGACTAAAATTGGTCTAAACTCATCAAGATATCATTTGTTTAGTTTTTCAATTTAGGAAGTATCGCTACATCTTTTAGTATTTTTGTTTTTTACTCTTCCTTCTCTTTTTTTGGTTAAACTTACTTCAAGTTCTTCATCCATGGAGAACTAAATTTTGAGAATTAATTCATAGAATCAAAGATCAAATAAGCCAAATTGAGTTTTACGCCGATCGTTCTTCGCTCTGAGTTTATTCTTCTCTTCTCAAATTTTTTGCATCTTGTGACATCAATTTGTATTGTTGGTTTTATAAATCAAATTATGAATTAATTGAATCTTGATTTGATATTTAGAATACAGATTGGATTGAATGATATTGAGATTTAATTTGTATAATCCGTTTAGTTGATTAATTGAATCGTTAATTATTCAAACTTGCATTGAATCTTTAGAAAACTATGATAAGATGATTATTTGATTGAGATCTATCTTTATCTTCTTTTTTATTTTGGTTTCCATCTCTTTGATTTTTGTTTTACCTTATTATTCTTGATATACAATGTTAAAAATGCAAGGATATGATGTCAAAATATTTTGATGATGATACAAGAACAAAGGACTTCAAGATTAGAAGACTCATACACATTTGTAATAGTTTGTAATAAATCTATTTAGTCAACTTGAGTCTGTAAAAATATAGTCCAAAATAGCCAACACTTAGCTTGTCCACAAAAGTTTCAAAACCGTTCTGTGATAATCGATTGTCACTAAGGATAATCGATTATCCAATTAAAAATCTGATTTGTGAAAATGGCTCTGGAATAATCGATTATCACCCTGGGATAATCGATTATCCTAGTAAACTCTTGGATTTCTGAAATCGATTCTGGAATAATCGATTATCACCCATGATAATCGATTATCCAGGACAAATTTGGTTTTCTGATAAAAGCCTCTATGATAATCGATTATCACTAAGGATAATTGATTATCCATGGTAGTTATGATTTTGAAATTCAAATTTTAACCTAATTTTTGAAAAAACTGTATTTAAAGGGTCTTTCATGCTCTCTAAAAAGAACCTTTTTGATACTCAAAAGTTAAGAGTTGTGTTTGCTGAGAGAACTTTGAGTAGGGAACAAAAAGGGGCTTTGAAAGCCTAGTGTGGGCAAGAGGCGAAAAGAATCACTGAGTGGGTTTCTTAGTGGATTGTGTGTTGTGTTGTCTCTAGGAAAGTTGTCTTCATCGTTTGTGGCTTCAATGGAGGTGTTCATCTCTTATATGACTCAAGAGAGGTATTTTTTAATCCTTTTTATTTGTAATTTATTTATCTGTTTGAACCATTATTTTAGTGACTCAGTTAATCCTCTTTTAGAGTGATTAACAATTGGACGTAGGGTCTTTTGATCCGAACCAGTATAAAATACTTGTGTGATCTTCTTCCCTTGTCTCTTTACTTTTCAAGTGCTCTATTATATTAAAAGAAAGTATTAATACCTTTTAATCAGTAAAATCTTGTGAAATTTTTCAAAAGGGCTAATTTTTATAAGAAACCAACTCACCCCCCCCTCTTGGTTTTTGTCTTAACGTGAACATTCTACTGCGCAATACCAATACATATTTTCAAACTCCAAATTTTATATGAAAATAATATTAAGAATTGAATACATTTTATGTGTCATTATGAAGAATGACCTAGGTTTGTACTCTATATTACAAAACCTTTTGAGCAAACTTAGAATATTTGATTTCATGATCACAACTTCTACCAACCACCACCACCCATCCATCACACTCACCCACCCTCACCACCCCACCCCTCTCCAACACCCTTTAACCCTTCCCCACTGAAACTCACCCTATCCAACTGTCACCGAAGCCCCCACATCCTCTTCGACTAAAGCCTATCCTCAAATCCGCAAAGTCACATGTTAAATTTTCCTTCAAATACTTTTGCATCATTCAATCCACTTACTACTCCACCTTCGAGGGAGATCGTGGAAGCTATTAAGGAGAACTTTTATAATGTTGCTTCAGATGGAGATCAAGTTTTGGTGATGCCCGAGATCAATAAGGCTTGACTTGATCATAGCTACAAACAATTAAGGCATATGTTTAAATATTCCTCTTTCGTCATTGAAATCCGGTGATTGAAATTCTCTTTCATCGTTGATGTGGTCATAACACTAGTGAAAAAAATATTTTCTATGACGGTTATTTTAGACTTTCTATGTCAATTGTAGAATCGACATAGATCTAGACGACATAAAATATATAACTTTCGATGTCGATTATTAAATAATCAACATAGTAAGTACTTACTATGTCGGTTCTTAACATAACCATCATAAAAAGTCTTGTGTTAAATATTTTTTTTATAATCATATTTCTCACAAACATTTTATCAAACATTTACAATGCAACAAATTTCAAAAATTAAACACAAGCATTATCCACATATGAAAACACAATTAAACCTAAAATGTAAATATATTCACTTAAATTGGATGAAAAATTATTCATAAAAGAAAAAATTCATAATAATAATTGCAATATAACATATTAGATAACTCCATTAAACCAAATAAGGAAACATAAACTAATATAGAAAAATGAGATAATGCTTCCATATTTTACCTTTGTTGTAAATGAGGAAGAAACAAGATTGTGGGAAGTGGTGGTTCAAGCATAAGGGAAACAAAAGTAAATTAATGTGATGGGGAGACAATGAAACAAAAGAAAATAAAAAGTTAATGTCGCAACAAAAATCGCGGCGAGACGATGAACCAAATTTTAAGATTTAAAAAAAAATCAAATGAGAGTTTTGGAGTTGCCACCATAGTTTATTCTGGAAAACCATACAGATAAGATTAGGTCTACGAAAACTGGATCTGGGTTCAGGAGTCAGTTACTTGAAGGGAAGGTATTAGCACCCTACAATGTCTGTCCTAAGACGATTACCCTTATTTGAATGTGTGAAATTGGATTTCCTATTTAAAATATTTATTTTCCCCAAAAATCATTGTCGTTATCGTCCCCTGCACGGGGAACTAAAAATGCGAGTGGTCGCGATGCGATGGCTGGATCTCATATTTTTGTAAAATAGTTTGGTCATCTCATTTAGGATGCTTGATAACCGAACTAATCTTAAAAGTGAGGTTTTAGCTAAAATGGGTTCTATGGAGTCATCACCAATGTTTTAACCATAAGCATTGAAAAAGGATAAAAAAAAAAGGTGTTGGTTAAAAAAATCAACTTTGACCATTATAACTAGAGTCGGGTAATGGAGTTAGTTACGCGTGAGGAAGGTATTAGTACTGTCGCCGCCGTAAAAAAGAGGCGGTCGAAGCGACGCGATGGTTCTGATTTTTCATTTTTCGCGTTTCTATGGGTGATGTTACAATTGCTTTAGGTTGTACGATAATTGGGCTGAACCTAAGGGCGAGGTTTTCGAAAGGGTGTTCTTAGGTCGTCCGATAATCGGGCTAACCTAAGAACTATTTTGAAAGGGGTCTTATGGAGTCGCCACCGATGTTTTTACCAGAAACATCAAAAAAGGAAAGAAAAGGCGTTGGTTTTAGAAAACCAACTTTGGTCGTTAAAACCAAAGTTGGGTAAGGGAGTTAGTTACGTGTAAGGGAAGTGTTAGTTCCCTTACGATGCCCCTTTCGGGTTCCCTATGATAGGCCAGTTATTTTATAAATAAACTTCTGAAAAGACGCTTTTACCCTTTTATTTGCAGAATTAAAATAATGACTACATGACCTTAATATCTATTACGCAATTTAATTATGAAATAAAAGACAGTAAAAGAGAGGGAGAGAGTGAAGACACCTCCGAGGCAAGCTTTTTTATTAATTCTCTTAAAGATAGGGTGCGTTTTGGCAGCCCTTTACTCTTACAACGCTGGAAATCTCTCGAAAATGCTATAAAAAGCTCTCTAAGACACTCAGAAACTCCGGAAATTCTTCGGAGGGACTCTAGGAAGAGAATTTGAAGAAAGTGTAGAAGGGAAAGTGGAAGAACTATGTGAAATGAAGGGGTGAGCGCTCACTATTTATAGGGATTCGCGTCTATCAGGTCGAGACCCCCGGTCTCGACTGGCAAGGTCGAGATGGCGGTCTCGACATTCAGGACGGCGGTGTCGACATTCAGGACAGCGGTCTCGACATTTGGGATGGCGGTCTCGACATTCGGGACCCCTGGTCTCGACTGGCAAGGTCGAGACGGTGGTCTCAACATTCAGGATGGCGGTCTCGTTTGGCGAGATGGCGGTCTCGACTTGCCAGATGGCGAGAGGGCCATCTCGCCAAACAGGAGGGGGGTCTCGCCAATGGTAAGTGGCGAGACGGCGGTCTCGACTTACCATTGGTCGAGACGGCGGTCCCGAAAAGTGAGACGGTGGTCTCGACTTACCATTGGTCGAGACGGCGATCCCGAAAAGCGAGATGGCGGTCTCGACCCTTGAAGGCGAAAATCCTTATTTTTATACAAAAAAATCCCTCCTACTCTAATATGGGGCCTAATAG